ACGAAAAGATGGCAAGAAGCATGGATACTTCGAGGAAGTCATTTTCTCGGTGGCTGATTGGCAAGCAATGAGAGATATGCTCGATATCCTCACGGTAAGTAGTTTGTCAATAGTTTTTTGAGGTTCTATTTCAGTTCTAATCATTCTTTGCTTCCCTTTCACCCCTAACATCTGTAGCCTTACAAGATCTTGACGCGAGAGATGGAAGGTGATCACCCTACAGGATGCATGCTACTCGTCAAATACGTCCAGCTCAAGTCGTCAATGGAGGATCGGTGGGACAAGATGCACGAAAATGATCCCCTTCAACCAATGGTGGATGTGATGATCGGAAAGATTAAAATGTACTTAGATGAAGCTCTCGAGTGTGATACCCTTATTCTCGCCGCCGTATTCCATCCTGGCCTTCGTGTTCGATTCTTCTCTCATGCCTTTGGAGAGGGCTCTCGTATTCATGATCGCGCCGAATCACTTCTGGAATCGGCTTTTACTTCGGAGCGCGAGGCGGCTGAGATTCGAAATCAGCCAGCTCCTGTGACTACCTCTCCTCCTAGTTCCCAGGTTGATACTTCTGGACCCAACTTTCTCCATTTTTACGATAAGGTGACCTCATCAAGCAATCTTAACGAGTTGGACCGATACCTTCAAGGTATCGATCCAATGGTTTCTCCTGATGTCAACAATCCACAGTATGCTTTGGACTGGTGGAAGGTGAGTCTTTCAAATTCTGTATTTCGCTTTTGTTGTTGCGCCCTACTGATCACCATTACTTTACAGGCCAACGCAGGTAAATACCCAGTGTTATCCACATTGGCGCGGAACTACCTGGCGACTCCCGCGGCTTCCTCTGCCCCAGAGCGATCATTCTCAGTGGCCGGGCGAGTTTGTACAGATGACCGAGGTGGTTTGGATCCTCGAATGATCGAGATGCTAGTCAATGGTCAGCTGTGGATGCTAGAAGGTATCCCTTTAACTGGTGACTTTGCTGAAATTGGCAAGATAATTGATTACGCCAAGAAAGCTATCCAAAAAAAAACCAGACAATCCCAATTTTAATTTCTTATGTTTTATTTTACTTCTCTTTATTCTCTCAACTTCTTTCTTCACTACACTCATTACATCAAGTTTGTTATATTTTCTTGACACTCGTTATACTCCTTTTATCACTCTTTGAGCTTTTTTTTAACTTTTACTTTGAAATCAAATTTGCGCTTTTTTTTTGCCTGAAACGCTGCGAAGCTCTGCGCAAAATAAGTACGCTTTTGGCTACTTTTTCGCCCGATATTTTTTCCTCCGCTTACGCTAAAGTTACCGAGCTTTGGCGGTGTTATTCTCCGCTGCGCATCCGATATCAAGGCTTTCAGCGCTACGTAGCGCTGCGAGCCAGAGTTGCTCCAAATATCCATCAAAATTCAAATTCACATCAAAATCAAAATGTGCTGAATCAAAACTATGTGATGCCAAAAGAGAAATATATATAGACTGTACAGTTTTGATGAACCCCAAATGAAAAAAATTGATTGTCACTCAAATATCTGAGCATGGAGTTTTAGGTCTGTTTATGGTACACAACAAGTTGCATAATATCAAATCAACTTTTTTGGTTTGCATTTTGAAGTTCAACACCATATATTATCATAAAGGTGACCAGATATCAAGGGAATAAGAGAAGAGATGATTTAAGAGTTTCAAATCTATAAACAAGCCTACATATCATGAGCAATCTTTACCCAAGCCTTCAGTTAGCTAAGTTACTAGGATTGATGTTGCCTCACTCCCAAAATTAGGACAGTTGCCGTGGACAGCACTGAAATGGGGGCAAATCTCAAATAAATAGAAGGTATGTACCCAAAATTGTCAACCAATTGGACAAGTGTGTTGGGAACTGACACTCATGTCTACAGCTGGTCAATGGGTTTGTAGGTCTAATGGCAGACAACGCTGACAACCAAGAGGGAAAAGGAAAGTGTGCCCATCCAGGAGATATAGATGGTACTGGTATCATGACAAAAACTGCTACCAATGGACGCGGGAGTGCATCCAGATCACCAGCCACTTGGGTTGCCTCAGCAAAGAAGATGTAAAAGCACAGGTCTTCTCATCTTCAGGTTTTGATCATTTGCAATCAGACATCTCCTCAAGACAATTCTTGTATTTGAGCTGCAGACCAACACAATTCCGAGGTACACATTGATTTGTGTATCATATGATGCACTGCCTTGGACAATGCAAAATGGATGTTAATGTGTAACATTAGGCACAGGCGCGGATAATGTAAAAAAGATCACTATGAATAATGATGTGATTCTCTCTTATCACATGACAATTGATAAGCTATTTGCATTGCCTGATTGCACAGTCACAAGTTGTAGTGAGTCAAGACCAGTATTAAGATAACAGTAGTGCGGCGGCTGGGCGTCCAATCCCTAGTTTTGCCTTATAAAGGAACAAGGACGTGAAGTGGCAGTTTCAGTGCTCCTTAACAGGAAAATACCATTTTCTCAGAGTCACAACTCTCACCTATTCCAGGGCTTGTGCTCCAATTTCCCCAAGATAGAAGACAATAATAATCCATCAATCACTTCCATTGATAGATGATCTCTTGTAGGATTAAACCAAACATATTTTACATCCTTCTCATTCATTCTTATACAAGTCTAAAGTTATATATGTAGAATATATGTTTTCTGCATGTGTAGATGCTGGTCATTTGATCAGGTGATTATACCAATTTCAACCTTCCAAAACCTTCTCTGACACATTTGTTATCAATAACTCCATACCATCTCAGTTGTCATGATGCTGAGTAGTTGAAGTCCAAAGTACATACTCCAGATCCTTGAAGCTTTGATACATCCCGCATTAAAATCGTAGGAAGATTTGACCCCGTATTTTTGCAAGTTACTTACTGCATGCGCTCCACCACATCCCATTGTTATAATCCTACTCACTTCAAAGGAAATCAAGTTTACGGTGCAGTGGCTTTGCAGTATGTCTGCACTTCCAAGGCTTGCACCTTGGATCGAAAGCCTTGGATGAGATCTGGGTCCAAGACTTCACTGGAGTTTCCACAAGAGCTTCGAGCCTTGTGGGATTCAATTCAGACGTGTACACAAAAGGTAGACGTAATCTTTACATATTGGTTCAACAAAAGAATCACATGCCCTATGTTTTCATTTTTTGTGGTCCAGCCTGGCGAACCATGTTTCATTCAGGCCTATTCAGGCAGCATGTGGTTGATGGACCTGTTGCATGGGGATTCTGTGCGAGATCAGCCTGCCTTTGAAACCGAAAGCGAGCCCTATTCATGATGAGGTTTTTCAGTCTTGCTTTGGAGCTTCTCTTTCACTAGCTGATCGAACTGAGATATTGCAAAATAACCTGCCAAGCAGCAGCTTGCATACCAATATGAACAATTCTTCAATCCGACTCTGTATCTTCGCAGCTTGGGGCGGAGCATGAATATCGCCTCGGTCACATGGCAGACTGGAACGACGTAGAGTGCCGATACGCGTACTATTTTCTCGAGCATCCCTGTTTTCATGAAAACTAATGCGATTGGAAGGCTTTCCATCGAGTTGAAGTGGACGTAATAAATCAATCCCACCAGTAGACTTATGAGAATCACGCTCATTGAAGGAGCCCGAAAATGATCAACTGGGACCCTGGACTACGTTGACAGATTAGAAAGCAGGCATCAGATTTGACAACATGTCACCATAGGTAAACAGAAATGAAAGTTCAACGCAACTAATTCCAATTTATCGAGAGCTTCGTTCATCATCCCAATCAAGCGTGGGCGGACATCCGCAGGGCTTTTCAATGCTGGTTTGAGGGGAATTCGGAGACGTAATCCCTTTTTATATAACGTATCAAAGATGAAATCCATTTCTTGCGCGTCAATCGCAAGCATTGTGGCGTGACATGCACTTGGCTGTCCTCCAAATACCTGTACATCTATTTCTGAGGTCAGGATAGGAAACCGTCGTTTGAAGTGGAGCAACTGACTACTGTTGTCGACTCACAATATAGAACTGCATCGGAATGGTCATGATTCTAAGAGGTTCGATCGAGGGAGGCGATGTGGGTTCAGCCCCGACTTCTTGTCGTTAGAAATCCGGAAGGGTGGCATACCATGTGAGAGCAATACCTTCCACTCGCTTCACTAATGGCATCTAGTTCTGACATCCTTTGTTCGTATGATCGGGTTGTGTACTGTTGTTACCTTTGGAAACTCGAACCTCGAAAGGTTTCCGGGAGTTGTTGCACCAATACGCCAGATTTTGGCAAAAGGTTGGCCTCGTACCCGCTGGTGCAGGTGCGGCGCATCAGAGGTTTGGTTTCAAAACCAAGAGCAATTTAATCTTCCTCGCGGACGTGTTTATGGACACAAGGTTGGAGGCAAGCACTCGATTGCATGTTTAGCAGCGCGATAGAGCGCGATATGCGAAGTTAGAGCACCGTGAGAATAGTGTCAATTTGGCAAATATCAAGATTCTCGGTAGCCTCGAAGCTTCCCCTTATGAAAGTCTGTTGTTTTGGTCATAGAAGTGAAGAGGATAGATATTCATAATGATGTATTTCCTCATCCTGAAACTGGACTCAGTCGAAAGCTCTACTTGGGCAACGATGGCAAGCAGTCTGTGGATGTCATATTGAGCTCATTGTCGGCGTCAACGCTTTGACCCACGTGCTTCTTACCAAGTCCATTTAAGTATAAGCAATGCTGTTTGGGTGCGGCTCACCTGTACCTTCCAATGGTCAATCCATTATGACTATTTCTGAAAGGTACGTAACAGACGTATTTAAAGAGCAATATATCTGCTTTCGATTGATACCTTCTGCGCTCCGCTTGGACTGCGTACCAAATAAGAGCTCATGATGCCGTTTTTCGGCGTGAAAAGAGTTCTTCGTGAAAATTGGGTCATACTCAAACCGCCATGGATGATATACATCCCAGTCACTTGACTCTTGGCTCGCATGTTCATTCCAAACTAGAGACTCGGACAAATGGTACGTTTGCACCGAACTGATCAACTCTTGTGATGGAATCCTGCGCGAAAGTGGATAGGATTTGCAGGAAAGGATACAGGTAGCTATATACTAGGCCTGCGTGAGCATCGTCTTTGCATTTTTTGAAATCAAACATCATTCCCAAATATATACCAGATCGAGCATTGATGAAAGCAATTACAATAGAGCTGCTGAAGCACCGCGAGATCGTACAAGTGAAAAAATACTCGCAGCTGAGGCTTTTATTTTTGGGTCATAGCCCGTCCGCTGTGTAAGATTCAGAAGACGAGGCGAAGATCAATTCTTGTGTTCGTAATTCGGACATCATCTAGGAGCCACCAGAGGAAGTTTTGAATTGAATTTATGGTTGGGCTTGAGCGCCTTCGGCACCACTCGACTGAGCAACTGGATAACCAGGTTGGCCGTAAGCTTGAGGGGCACCGTATTGAGGATACCCTGGATATTGGCCATAACCGGGCTGTGGCATTCCATACATTTGGGGCTGAAAGCAAGAGTGTCAGTCAGATAGCTAAATCTTATAGCGAGGAACGGGCCCACCATTCCATACATTCCAGCAACTGGGGCCATGGCCATTGCAGGGTTTGTAGCTGAATTCGGGTCGGCCGATGCTCTGTCTTTGCCCCATGAGCATTTGAGCGGTCGCCCATGGACTGGCGTGCCTGTCAAGTTCACAATGGCCATAGCAGCGTTTTCGTGGGTATCCAGCTTGACAAAGGCAAAGCCTCGGTCCGCCTGTGAAGAAAGGGATTCAGGAAACTAGACGTCTTTGAAGATAATCATTGGTAACTGACCTGCATTCGGATCTCAACGATGTAACCAAATCCTTGGAATAAGGGAATAAGATCGGCTTGAGTACAGTATGGTACCAAGTTACCAGTGTACACGGTGGAGTTGTACGCCGGAGCCTGCTGGACAACTGCTTCATAGCTGTTGGCCCCAAAACCGCCGCCGCCACCACCACCACCAGCGCGATTCATACCACCATTCATTCCGCCCATGTTACCTCCACCCATGGCAGACCCAGGAGCTCCAGGCATACCCTGGTTCTTCTGATTGGCCCAGTTGACCCGAATAGCACGAGAGCCGAGCCATTCACCGTTCATCGTAGCAATAGCTTGCTCAGCGTCAGTCTTGTCGCGGAACGCGAGGAAACCGTATCCACGAGACTTTCCGCTGTTCATGTCCCACATCACGCGAGCATCTGATAAAGAGCCGAACGCTGCAAAGGCCTTCGCCAAGACGTCATCATTGACCTCGGGCGACAAATCCCCGACAAAGACGTGAAAGTGACCCGAGAGATCTTCCTTAACAGCGTTCTGCTGCTGATATACACAGATTTCGTGATGGATGAAGTTAATACGCAAGGTCAAGATGTGGGGTTAGGTAAGGGAGCGGAGATGAGATGCGAGTTGGTTACGTACCGAGTTTTGATAAGCCCAATTGACACGAATCTCATTGTCAAAGATTTTACGTCCTCCTAGAGTTTGCAAAGCTGTTTCAGCTGATCGCATCTCATAATATTCAACAAAACCATAATTGAGACCGCCATGTTGAAAATTGCGATCGGGAATAATTTTCACGCCCTTAGGGACATCAATCAAAGACGAGAATAGGACGAAAGTGTACGATTTGATGTGATGGGAGCCAGTGATGAAAGAAGAATTTGAAACGCGTGGGAATTACACCGCGAGATGAAGATAAAGTTATGAAACCAAGGATGAAGTTGAGGAGAATTGAGACGAAAGATAGAAAGGTGCGAATGGGCGAGCCCGCACAAGATAGAGATAACGCATGAAAGATTCAATGACAGTCCAAGAGAAAGAGGGATGGAAGATGACTGACTTGGACAGAGCCGGCAACGGAGAAGATCTCCTGAAGCATATACTCGGTCACTCTAGGACTCAAGTTACCAACGTATAAGTGGGCACGCTTTGCCTCGGGGTGCCCGGTGTACGAGTTAGACGGCTGAGCGCCCGGGGCGCCTGTGGTAGGTACTACCGCGTTATTGTTGCCATAAGCACCTTGAGGACCAGTAGAGGAGGCCGACGAGCCAACGGGGAAATTGGACGGCGCGGGCTGACCTTGCGCTTGTTGCTGAGCTTGTTGAGCCTGAGCTTGTTGCTGTTGTTGGGCGTAAGCAGCATACTGTTGAGCGTACGCTTCATAACCCTGAGAGCCAGCGGGAGCACCGTAGGCTGCAAATCGGGCAATAGATTAGTCGCGAGATATCAATGCTGAAGTTGTAAACTATCGATCGAACAAGACTTACCTGCGGCAGCGTTCCCGGCTCCAGCCGAAGGTTGCTGAGCTTGGTCGGACATAATGTGAAGTGCCTTTAGATGAAGTAGGTGCAGACGAGTGAAAGTCTGTCGTGAGAAACGTGTGGCAATCAGATAAGGTTGTGTTATCGTCAAAAAGGGAACGAGCGGTGAAGGCGAGTGATCGGGAGTAAGACGTGTAGGTCAGGTTGGCGTCAGTGGTGTAACATCAAGCGTGATCGAAGACAAAGAATCCCCAAAAGTACGCACAGAGCGATTCGCAGAATGCGAGCAAGACCGCCAAACCACAATACGAGCGAGAGAGTCAGGTAAGGATATTGGCGAAAGGAAGGGAAGTTGAGAGAAGGGCACAGACCTGATCGAAGAGTGAATGAGGAAACCAAGACGATAGCAACGAAATCAAATAACGAAACCAAGGGTCGAGATAAGGAGGAAGAAGATGGAATGAGAGAGTGTGAGGATGAGAATTGAATTAGACCAAAGACCCAAAGAAAACACACACAGAGAGAGAGGTAGTATAAAGAGAAATATAGAGATCGAATATGGAAAGGAAGAAAGAAAAGGCTGAGGACTAGGAAGTGATCGAGACTGATCAGAAGGGGGAAAGGTTAAGGATGAGATCGAAGTACCCAGGAAGGACTGCTGACCAAATTGAGAAAAGTCGATGACTCAAAAACTCAAATCAAAAACTAAATTTTACAAAGTGAACAACTTTACTCTTATTCAAGTATACCGGTTTTGAAGGGAAAAAGCGGCAAGACTTGAGTTAGGCCTGTTAAGGCGCCGGACCGAGTGTGAATTCACCAATTTCGGGTTGGGGTTGGGGTTTAAGTCGACTTAAACCCTCACAAAAACACCTAAATTAAACTCGAACAAACCGAAACTAATTGTACCCTGCCTAGAAAACCCTAAAAACCCATTCCTCGTCATCATCCGGCAATCAAGTTTGAAAAACTTTTCTTGATCTTGGGATCTTGTTTCTAGAAGATTATTATGTACGATGCCGATGAGGTATGACGAGTTTGTAGCTTGCCAATCGGCGCACAAGTCTCCATGTGCCATGCTCACCTGGACATTGCAAAAGGGTGGACTGTGGCGAGCTCATGTGGATCCAACAAGTTTGATCATTTGGGACATCTGAACTTGCATCAGCAGAGAGAGCCTGAGGGCACGTTTGGTACGACTTTTTTTAAGGTACTTAAGTCGAAATTTGACTTTCAAAAGTCAGATTTTGAAAAGTCCGTTTGGCACGTGTTATTTTCAATAGGGATGCTGTTCGGTGAATCTACTGAGAAGCTGCTTGGGGATTCATTCCACAAGCCAGGGATGGGCGCCCTTTATAGGCGTCCATCTCGGTGAGTTACAAATTAGGTAATCAGGATTTGGTACAACTGGTTGGATCTGATGAACATCGAGATATGGAAAGGATGTCCGGATCCGGGATGACAGGATCCGGTTTTACAAAGGTGGAGGACAAATCCGGTCTGGATTCGTCCGAGATGAAAAGTCAGGTTACATTCTGAAAGCACACAAGATGAGTAAGAAAAGCACGCTGACAAAAGCGTGAGGGAAAGAGAAGTGGAACAATAGGGAACAGGGATATCGGGATATCACATCACCCCCTCTTTAAGACCGAAAACTTCCTAGTTTTTTTTATTGCTCTCCCCGTGGTCGAGTTCATCTTTTACTACGTCTAATGAATTCTTTATGTAATAGTACAAGGCGCCTAAAGCCCTTGCGGAAAATTTTCTGAAATCTTTATTCGCTTCTTCTTCGTATAACTTGTCATGTAGTTTTATTGCTAAGTCGACAAGATGCTCTTCTTTTCTTGCCAACATCTCTTCTTCTTCGGGGTCGCTGTGTACGTTACTCTCTTCTGGCAAGTTCGTCGCGTTTGTGGAGTTCGCGAGAGGCGTAGAAGAAGTCGGCGGATTTTCCTTTGAACAATTTAAGTCGTGATCCGTTGATGTTAGCTTTCAGGATATGTCCATTCGCAGTCATCAGACTGTACGTACCGTTGGGGTAACAAGTTCTAACAATAAAAGGTCCATCCCATTTTGGATGTAACTTTGATGGTCGTCCCTCAAAGCTCCTGAGCACAAGGTTTCCTGTTTTGAGGCTTCTTTCCGTGTAGGACTCTTCTGTTGCGGAGTTTCGTTCTTCAGCTCTTGAATTAAGGTCTCAAATAAGCTCTGAGCGTCCAGTAGCATGTTTTCGGATAACTAGGTTTCGTTGCCTATGGATCAATTCTAAATTTTCGACGGAGTCATCGTACTTTATGCTTACTTTTTCAGACGGCAACCGCGCGTCGCTTCCGTATACCATAAAGTATGGCGATGCCTTCATGGAATGTGAGTAGGATGCCCTGTAAGCGAAGAGGCATGAGTTCACGTATTCGTCCCATCGGTCTTGGTTATAAGGGCTGCAGAATTTTCGCAATGAATTTACGAACGTTCCGTGGAATTGCTCAACCAGCCCATTAGCTTGTGGATGGTAAGCAGTGGTGGTTATGTGTCTGATGCCGTGGTCCAACATGAATTCCCTGAATTCCTTTGATATGAATTTGGATCCGTTGTCAGTGGTAATTTCTACCGGTACGCCGTGGCTCAGGATAATTTCCTTGATTAAACCAATAGCCGCGCCTGCTGAAGTCCTTTTTAAGGGTTTAGCGTAAGCCCAACCCGTTCCGTAGTCTATCGCGGTTACCAAGAATTGATGGTTATTAGCACTTTTTACCAAGGGTCCCACAAAGTCCATTCCCCACTTACGGAATGGTTCACCTCTTGTTATCATCTGGATTGGTAGTTGGTGTTGTTTTGTCGGGGCAGCGTGTATTTGGCACGCTGCGCATAATGTTATTGCATTCCTGACGGTCTGATTTAGTTGAGGGAACCAGTACCTCTTCTTTACTGCGGTTAGCACGTCTTCTACATTTCGGTGGCCTAGGTCCTCGTGGATTTGGAAGGCTATGCTTTCAGCTTGTCTTTCGTTTGTTGCTACGATTCGGGGAATGGTACTCAGATTTTCATCCTTGTATAATACTAACTGGTTGTGGGTCAGGCGGAACAACCCGTTGCCAATTGTGGCCGGATCAGCTCCTGCCTCGAGTTTCATTTTGTATTTGACTAAGGTTCTATAGGCGTCCTCCTGGTTGTTGATATTAAAGAGTGGTTGGGCCACCTCGGGTGGTTCCTTATCGAATTTTGTGTTTGGTTTCCGGGACAATGAATCAGCCGCGAGTTGTTCTTTTCCGGGCCGGTAGATTATGTGAGCGTTAAAAAACTCTATTTCGTCTACAAATCGCGCGAGATGTCGATTGATAAATTTTTGTGTTTTGAAATGTTTCAGGGATTCATGGTCAGTTCTAACGAGGATAGGCGAACCTTCGATGAAACCCCTGAAGTGTTTTAAGCCGTGTACTATAGCCAACAGTTCCCTTTCTTGGGCGCTATAATTCTGCTCAGTCTTCGAAAGTTTTCTCGACTCAAAAGCAATTGGTCGAAGGTTATTGTTCTTGAGGTTTTTTTGATACACGGCAAAATCAAAATCACCGGATTTTGGTACTTCTGTAAGTTCATCTTGTTGAAGTACTGCGCCGATGTTAGTGCCTGAGGCATCGGTGTCCAGGACAAACGGTTTAAAGGGTGTTGGGTGAGAAAGAGGGACAGTTTCGGATAAGGCTTTCTTGAGGCTTATGAACGCCGTTTATTGGTCATCCCCCCACTGAATCGAAGTCCCCGGCTTCGGGGAGCCTTCAGTGAGCTTGTATATAGGTGAAGCAATGGAGGAAAACCCTTTAATAAAGCGTTTGTAATACGTACAGAGGTTAAGGAACCCTCTTACCTGTGATATATTAGTTGGGGTGGGCCATTGTGTAATTTTATCAATTTTATCGGCGTTGGTCCTAATCCCATTGCCGTCCACGATGTGACCCAAAAACAACAGTGAGTTCTTTCCCCACTGACATTTCTTGGGCGAGACTACTAACCTTTGTTTCTTCAGAATTTCAAATACTTGCTTAACATGCTTGATGTGTTCTTCCGGGGTCCTAGAGAATATAATCACATCATCTAAGTATACAAGTGCGTATTTATCAATGGCTTCTTGCAAGATGTCGTTCATCATCTCTTGGAAGGTGGCCGGCGTGTTGCAGAGTCCAAACGGCATAACTGACCATTGGAAATGTCCTTGACGGCAGGTGAAGGCCGTTTTCTCTTTATCTTGAGGGGCCATTGGCACCTGCCAGAACCCGGATTTCAGATCAATGGTCGTGAAGCATTTTGCGCCGGTCAGAAATTGGTATGCGTCGTCTATTCGGGGTAGTGGATACGCGTTTTTTCTTGTAACTTTGTTTAGCGCTCGGTAGTCAACGCATACTCTCGTTGAACCGTCTGGTTTCTTTACTAACAACAGTGGAGAGCTCCACGGAGAATCGGTTCTTTCTATGATACCTTGCTCCAAACCTTCTTCAACGAACTGGCCTATGAGTTGGTGTTCCGGTGGGGTCAGAGGTCGTCCGTGTGTTTTGATTGGGTTACTATCACCAGTATCTATGAAATGCCTATGTTTGCGTTCTACTTTTTCTATTTCCTCTTTAAAGCATTCGGGTGCCGTTTTACGGGTGCAATTTTCTAACACAGAGTGTAAGGAGTCTATGGCTAGGGTGTAAAGGTCGTTTCCCTTGGGCTTTGGTATAAACGTGTAATGTCGAGAGTTGTTTTCGATTTGGTATTCCATTGTATTGAAGTTGATTTTAGGTCTGTGTTCTTTGAACCATGGCATCCCCAAAATCAACTCCACATTTGGTAATGGTAGTACGTAGGCCTTCACCATGAACCTGAAGAATGTCCCGTTATTGCAATCGTCGATTTCTAATTTGAAACTAGCGATCTTGGTTGATGTTTCGTGGGCGCCGTTAGCCAGTCTTACTTTTTGGCCATCGGTGTCTTCCAAGCTTATCCGGTTAGGGTTTAATTCCAGCATTTTCTTGAGTTTGTGCTCCGATATGTAGTTTGCTGCTGCTCCAGTGTCGAGGATCGTGGCCAAAGGATAATTTCTGAAGTGGCTAGTGTATGTGGGAAGGGGAGAGCTTGAGTCGTTTTGCGTTGCCAAATCGACGATGTTCAGCGACAGCGTTTGTCCTTCATAAATTTCTCCTTCCTCAAGACTAAGGATAGCTTGACCGTCGTATTCTCCTATGTCCTTGGGTCCACTAATGGCGTATCCTGTCCATCTGGGTCTTTTAGAGCTTGAGTTGAATATCTTGTTCCATGTTTCAACGTGTTCTAATTCCTCTTCTCCTAACCTTTCTCTGTCTTTTTCGTCTATAGGTGAGTGAAATGGTGTATTGGTGAAGCCGAACCCATCAATTTGTCTGCCGTCTCTTTTTATATCTGGGTAAGTGAAGACATTTTTACCTAGGGGCATGAGATTCAGGTCTTGGGTTCCCTTCTCTTTTGCTGACATCTTGTCGTTCCCATGTTCCGGAGTAGACAGTGAAAATGGTAGGTTTGACATATCGATATTACACATTTCTGGTGGGGTTGATGGAGAGTACGAAGGGCTGGGGATATTTGGGTAGTTAGAATATCCTGAGGTTAGAGGGGAGCTCGGGTTAACTACAATAGGGTTATTCTTGGTACCTTCCTCCTCTAGGTCTTCTTCAAAAGGTCTCTTCATCAAGTTGTTTATTTGATCGGCGTCTAAATCAAAATAATCAATGCCTTT